GGTTCCCTGCCCGTTGCCCTGGGTTGCTTCCTACCCCAGCTCTGTGGCCGACGGAGACCCCACCTGGTGAAGCTGGGCTGGCGGTGGCTGTAATGTTGACAGGTCCCGTGTCTAGAGCAGCAGCGAAGGGATTGTCCACCACGGCGGGGCAGATGGCCCCCTGGAGTCGACGTTGTGGGCATGCTCGACCTGGGGACGGTAGCAGCAACGGCTGCGGTCCCAACGGCTCTGGTTCTAACAGCAAGTCCGGCTGTGGCTCTGGGGGTTGGGCCGGAGCTCCTTCCTCCCCAGAGGTCAGCCCCAACTGAGCAGCCCGGCAGCCTTTTATACTGGGACTGCACTTCAAGCATGCCAAGCAGGGCTGTGGGGGAGGGGCATATTCTACCCAATAGACGGGCTCTCTGCCCCCCTGTTCAGTGTGGGGCAGGCCAGCCCCGTCACACACCTCCCCCCTTAAGAGCATTCTCCCTGGTAGTCTGTCCTCCCCCTCCTTAGAACCTATGCGTGAAAAAAAGTCTGCGTTTCCGTGGGCTCTCCCTGGCTTATGTGCCACTTGAAACGAATACGGCTGCAATGCTAGATACCAGCACATGATACGCGCATTAGTTCCTGGCACATGGTGTCGCACATTTTCCTGGGCAGGGGTCAATGATTATCCAGTACTTTCTGACTGATTAATGGGGTTCTTCCCAGTTTATTGGACAACACATGTGGGAACTGTGCCATGAGTTCTTGCAGCTGTTGCTGTTGTCCCTTCTCCAGGTCCTGCCCGATATCCACCTGGGGGCACTCCGTCGAGGCTCCAACTTGCGGCCCCAACTCATCCTCTGGGGGAATGGGGTGATCAGCATTGCCTCCCTCTCCTTCCATGCCTTCAGGAGGTTCACATGGTATATTCATAAGTCCTTCTGCCGCCCTGGTAACTATACCTCATAGTCAACCTGCCCCACCTTCCGCACAACTTCAAATGGTCCTTGACACTTCGCTAGCAACTTGGACTCCGAGGAGGGCAACAAGAGCAACACCCAGGCCCCGGGTTGAAAGGTCCGCACCTTTGCCTTCTGGTTGTAGTGGCGCACCTGTGCTTCCTGCGCCATCCATAAGTTCTCCTGGGCTAGCCGGCCCAATTTTCTAGCTGCTCTTGCAGTTGTAGTATATAGTGGTTGGACCCCTGGGCGCATCTTTCTTGCCCCTTCCAAGTCTCTCTCACTAGGTCCATAATCCCCCACAGTCGGCACCCATATAATAATTCAAAAGGGGAAAATCCCGTGGAGGCTTGGGGAACCTCCCTTACAGCAAAGAGAAGAGCCGGCAGCCATCTGTCCCACTGCCGCAGGTCGTCCTTGACGAATTTGCGCAGCATCGACTTCAGCGTCCTGTTGAATCGTTCCACCAGTCCATCCGTCTGGAGGTGGTACACGGAGGTTCTCAGGGATCGAATATTCAGTAGGCGACACAATTCCGTTATGAGTTTTGACGTTACATTAGTTCCCTGATCTGTTAGGATCGTCTTAAGGAGGCCCACCCTGGCAAACACTTTTAAGAGTTCATCGGCGATGGCGCAGGCGGTCGTGACCTGTAGGAGAATCACCTCCGGGTATCGGGTGGCGTAGTCCACGATGACTAAAATGTATTTGTTCCTGTTGGTGCTTCTCTCCAGCGGCCCGACCAGGTCCAGTCCTACCCGTTCAAAAGGAGTACCTACCATGGGCAGTGGGACCAACGGGGCTTGGAGAACCCCACCGGGGTTAGCATGCTGGCATTCGGGGCATGATGCACAATAGTCTCTCACAGCATGGTGTATCCCCGGCCAGAAGAACCGTTGGGGTAGTCTGCATAACGCCTTTTCCCGGCCTAAGTGACCCACCCAGGGCACATCGTGGGTCAACCACATCACCGCCATCCGAAACCGTTGGGGTACCAGCAGCTGACAGATCTCGGCTCGGGTTTGCGGATCTTGGGTCAGTCGGTACAGCAGTCCCATCACTGTCCCACATTAAGCAGAATCCCTTAATATTGAAGGGAAGTGCAAATGGAAGTAAAGTTGATGTGGAAGTAGTGACCTCCATAAGAATTCCCTTCTTTGGGGTGGAAGGCAGATTATACAATAATGAAAGAGGATACAGGGAATTCTGTTAATTATTACTCAAACCCACATATTCCATGAAGTAACAGAACTTTTGATTTTGGGAAAAAGCAAGATTCTTTCCTTCATGATAAGATCCACTGGGGTAAAATGAAAGTCATAGAAAGATACTTTTTCCTGGGCTTTGTCAGAAGAAATGATAAATCTAAATTTATATACAGTAAGGAAATTTAGATTTGTCTTGTTATACTAGACAAGAATAGACCTGAATGAAGAAATTAACAGCTATTCCTACAAGAAGTAAAGAGGACTTTTTCTTCCAAGAACTGAATCATAAAATCCTAGGACAGGAAGTGACCTCAAGAGGTTATCTAGTCTGTCCCCTGCATTTGATGCAGGACTAAGTATTATCTAGATCATGGGTTCCCAAAGTGGGGGGCGTGAAGAAATTCTAGGAGGCAACCCCCAGTACCCTCCATCAAGTTTTACTGCCCCTGGTCAGTTCCTTTTTTTTGCTTAAGTTTTGCTTTGTGTGTGTGTGTGTGGGGCGGGGGGTTCAAAAAGTTTCGGAACCACTGATCTAGAACTTTGCTGAAAGGTGGTTGTCTAATTTTCTCATAAAAATTTCCAATGATCTAGATTCCACAACCTCCCTAGGCAATTCATTCCATTGCTTAACCACCGTGACAGTTAGGAAAATTTTCCCTATGTCCACCAAATCCTCCCTTGCAGCAATTTAAGCCCATTGCTGCTTTTCCTATCCTCAGAGGAGTTTTTTTTTCTCCTTCCTCCTTGTAACAACCTTTTAGGTTCTTGAAAACTGTTATCATGTCCCCTCTCAGTCCTCTTCTCCAGATTGAAAAAATTCAATCCCCCCAAATTTTTCTCAGTCTTTCCTCATAGATCATGTTTTCTACTCCCTTAATAATTTTTGGAAGCTTCAGGGGGTAGCTGAGTTATTCTGTTAGGGTACGTCTACACTTGCTCCCTATCTTAAGATAGAGATGTAAAAGTAGTATACTGAAATTGATAAAAAAGGACAGGATTTCAATATCATGCGCATAATTAGCATAATCGTGTCCAGGCACCATTTTGAAATCACATTATTGTGAAATAAAATTCCCCATGTAGCAGTGTTATTTCGAGAGAAAGCCCTTCTCTCGAAATAACTGTTACATCTCATAAAATTTTTTAAAAGGAGCACCCGCATTTGGTCAAGCAAAAAAAAAAAAAAACCACCACGTTTAAGAAACACGTTTAGAGGATTTTTGGACACATCAGGCTCCCACCGGCCAACACCATCTTGACGATGCCATTTCCTGCCCCAGTGAGCACAGGGAGCTGGGAGCCAGGGGCCACTTTCAGGGGCGCAGGGGTGGCTTTGTGAGCCACACCCTGGGGGAGGAAAAGAGCCGCATGTGGCTTGCGAGCCGTGGGTTGGCCATGGGTGGAGTAGAGAAATGGAAATGGGTGAAGTGACAACTTTTGTATTAGCAAACTTCATTGTACTAATTGTGTTTAATTTATTCTAAATGACACAAGACCCAACTACAAAAAACCCAAATCTAGAAAGAAGTGTCACATAAAGTATTCAAGGAGCTAACATGAATCTTGAGGCCACAGAATTTATCAGCTTGCATTATATTATTATTTTAACAATTTGTATTTTTGCATTTTTATTCAAAAACTTTTTTTAAAATAAAAAAGATAAACGCTCCCCATATTTTTATTTGGCTTCCTTTCAACATCTGAAGAAGTGGGCTGTGCCCATGAAAGCTCATGATACCATCTACCTGTATTGTTAGTCTATAAAGTGCTATCAGACTATTTGTTATTTTTTAAGTTTAAACAAAAAAAGAGTGGTGATTTTGTACTAGGGATTGCATTGTTCATTCCCTATAATCTTGAATGCGGGGGAGCTCTGTCTGCCAGGGAGAAGAAACAGAGTTGTGGCAACTTTAAGAGACCACTCCCTCCCTTCTGAGCTAAAGAAAGAAGCATCACCTGAGTCAGGGGACTGACTGGAAGGAACTCAGGTGGGCCAATGGCCTATGAGCACCTGATGAGGAGGGGAGGAAGAGGATATTTCCCTCTGTTGCCTGCAGACAGTCATATTTCACCCTGAAGCAGCAGCACCCATCCTCCCTCCCATATAGACCAGGATGTAAATAGGTTTTATGGTCTGCTGTAAGAATTGCACTGGTTACTTGTTTTGGAGCTCAAAAAGAACATTTTCCTCACCACTAGATTGTACATGGAAAATGGCAATCGGGGCGTTTTTGCGCAAAAGTGTGTCTAGATTGGCACGGATGCTTTTCCGCAAAAAGTGGTTTTGCGGAAAAGCGTCCATGCCAATCTAGACGCTCTTTTCCACAAATGCTTTTAATGAAAAACTTTTCCGTTAAAAGCATTTGCGGAAAATCATGCCAGTCTAGACGTAGCCATACTGTATAAATCTGACTCTGCTTTCAACCCACCATACTTGGTCTCCAAGATGGAGACAGAAGGTACTAGAGTAGCAGCTGGAGTGAGGCAAAAATGGAAAGTGAAATGAAAAGCCTTTCGTTTAATTTAAAACAAAAATTTGTGTTTTTAAAAGAAAATTCCTGTTTTCAAAGGTGAGTACACTAGAAGATGATATTGTAAGCATTTCCTTTTACTGAATTCCCATTTTAGGGCCTTTATTGTTACAAGTTATAAGCCTTCTTTTAGCAAAACAGCAAGACATTTTAAAAATCTAACCAATTAACTGTACAAAACATCTAATTTTTGTTTATTTTGTCCCATTGTTCCAATTTTCTTCATGATGCACTGGCACTGTCATTATCACACTGTTATTGTGGCTAATAGCAATCTTTCTAAGTGCAATCACAAATATTATTGCAATTAAACAATATTTTTAAAAAGCATTTACTTATATTCAGTGGAGTAGGCAGTTATCTCAGTATCATTGTGTAACCACTTAAATTCCAAAGGCCAGCTGCCTTCTGCAAGGCATGTAAGTACAAGACGATTCCCCTCTAGATGGATCTGGGGCAAACCAGGCTCAGTCTTGAAGTAGGGTGGAACATCATCTGAAACATACAAGAGAAATAATTTTTTGATTATTCTGAAAATGAACAAAATTGATTTTAGGATACCAATATTTAGCCAATTTCCTCCTAAAATATTTAATAAAATAGGGGACTAGGCTGTCCAAGACCTAAATGTTACCTTCTAAGCATCAACTTTCTGTACCTAGAAACATGCTGAAAATGCTGCTTGGTTCACAAGTTAAAACAAGTTTGGAATTCTCAGCTTCAGCTCCTCTCCATAAGTGTTTACATGGCAAAAAAAAAAAAAAACAAAAAAACCCCAAGAGGTATGCAATCAAAATCTGCACAACACCTACATCTGTGTTTAATATGCCTGGTAATAACCATTCTTATTTGTTTCGTACTTTCATTAACACTAAATCCATACGCAAAACTTCAAAAATCCTTTTTGAAAGAAAAAAAAAAACCCTGAAGTGATCATCATAGCAGGATAAGTCTCCAGGCAAATGAATTTTGATAAAAGATCAGCTCAGAGCAATGTTTTTCTTGTGACCCAGGTGAAGAAAATTCTTGATGCCCATGATACATCATAATTATATCTTTTGACAAGAATGCAGACTCTGTGGTGGGGTCAGGGCTGAGGATTTCGGATTGCAAGAGAGAACAGTGGAGCAGTGGTCCCTGTAAGTTGTGCACTTGGGAAGGAAGCCACCCAGGAGAGATGCAAATGTCTTCCAGCTGATGAGTAGAACAACACCTGTTTCTTCTGGTCGTGTATGTCAACACATGCCTCGGTGCACATAAGAAAATGTATTCAGGACGTGCATAGAAAAAGTTAGAGGGAATATTAGGTGAGAGGGCTCCATCTGTGGGTGAAGGCTCTGGGCTGGAATCAAGGATGAGATGTTTAAGTGTAGCAGGGGATTACAGACTGGGGGTGGAGCAGAAGGGTTAAGAGAGTTGGAGAGGACCCAGGGCTGGGCAGGTGGGTGCAGTGCAGGGGATGCAGGCTCCATCTGGGGATGCAGACTGTGGGATAGGAGATGAGGAGTTTGGGGTGCAGGAGAGACTTTGGGTTGGGGGAAGAGCTCAGGGCTAGGGCAGGAGGTTAGTGCTCAGTGTTTGGGCATGGGCTTACCTCCAGAGGCTCCCAGTCAGCAATGTGGAGGTGTTAAGGCACGCTTCTTGCCCGTGCTAGCACATTGCACCCCGGAAATGGCCAGAAGGTCTGGATACTAGGCGGAGGCAAGCAAGTAAGTCTCCATTCTGCTCTCACCGGCAGGCACAGGCCCACCCAGCCTCCACTGGCCAAACACTGGCATGGGAATATGGAGCAAGTGCTCAGGGTAGAGACAGCTCAGAACCACATGACTCCCCTGCCTAAGATCCAGATGGTTGGCTGGCCACTTTGGGGCGCAGTGCAGTCTGGGGTGCCAGGACAGGCAGGAAGCTGCCTTAGCATCCCTGCTGGTCACCTGCTACCTCTACAGCAAGGCAATCCAGGGCCTGATGTTCTGTGACCCAGACTGGATCACAACCCATAGTTTGAAAACCACTAGCTTAGCCCAAAACACCTTACAAAATGTCAGTATTTATGTGTGTTCCAAAACTGTCTCTAACTACCTTGACTTAAATTGCATTTTCTGTGACCAATCACAGGTTTTAAATTGGTTTCATAACATTCAGGGTCAAATACATGTAACAGCCAACTCTTATTTTTTTTTTGGTTCAGAAATGAACAAATATTCCATGAGGTGATATTAGTGGCTGTTAATGCAAGCATAAAAGATGCTCCTGCTTCATGTGGGAAGAAATATCCAATAGAATTATGAAATCTTCCAAGTCCAAATAAACATCCACTGACATTTATGAGTGCAGGATCTGTCCTCTGTTATCTTATCACAGATACAATCAACTAACTTGACTGTATGAACTAGCAAACTACCTAAAACTAAACATTACCACAACTGATAGACCAATTGAAAAGACAGTGTTCAAAAAGAAATTGAGTTTTCAGATTTTCTTAATCTTTATTTAAATTAGAGTGACAAAATACCCCATTAGTGGTACTGAATTTGTTAAGTAAACATTCAAGGCCTATTTGTGCATGGAATCTGGACTCTATTCCTGGTTGTCTTAAGGTGCCTCTACACTAGCGTCCACATGGCAATTGCATTATTTAGTCAGAAAATCGAAATAACAGACAGCTTTTTCCAATGGCAGTAAACCTCATTCCATGAGGAATAAGCCATTTTCCAAAAAAGTTTTTTTGGAAGAGGATGTATGTAGACGTTCCACTGCTGCTATGTAGAAATAGCTCCTCACCAGAACCATTCTAAAGTCATTCCTCCCTGGTGCCTCCTGGGGCTCTAAGTCAAGACAGCGCGTACATATTAGAGGAGCCTGCCTCAGACTAATTTCGAGGCTTCTCTGTAGTGTGGACATTCTACTTCGAAATAAGCTATTTCCGGAAGATATTTTTTTTGGCTCATATGGGTGTTGTGAGGGAAAATTAAAATTTTAATGTACTTAAAAGCCTAAGAATATAAAAGACTTTCAGTTCATAGAGGACTGGTTTAACACAGAAAAAAGACAAACTTTACTTTTACCACATTACACTAACTGTGGACCCAAGTATTGAAGACAAATTACTATCCAGATGATAGAGCTTTCAAAAAAGTCAATAAGGAACTGAGTCAGAACTGCTTGTTTGTCAGATTATTCAGATAAAAATTCTATAAAATTAGGTTCCTAACAATGTTAAACTACAGCAATATTACTTTCCAGATCCCACAAATCTCATGTAAAAAATCAGTAGAAAATAAGTCAATGCTGGTTTTATGCACTACTCAAATTCCAATTAATTTAGACCAAGTTATTCAATAAGGAAGTCTACAAAATTCAGCTCCCATTGGTGTAATAGTGCATAAATACAAATATGTTGTTTTCCAGATCACAGAGCTTCAGAACAAAAAAATATGAAATAGAGGTTTAATCATGTGTAAAAGCAATTTCACCTGTGTTCTAGAAAAAAAATCAAACAAAAAGCTGAAAGGAACCCAACCTACAGTGGTGATTACACTTGAGCCTCTTTGTGAGAAAAGGTGCTAGCAAGCACTATTAGACATGTGACATTGGAAGCTCATAGTCATCCTGAGATTAGCCCATACGTACAAGTCTCTCTCCTCCTTTGTATTACATTTTTAGAAAATCACATTCCAAATGATTTCGTCTCATCATTTTCAATGTATAAAATCCCTACCACTGCCATGCCCAATTCTTCTGTTTGTATATTGACCTATTGTGATTCTTATACCCATTAATCATGAGAGAGAGAGCGAGAGAGAGAGAGAGAGAGAGAGAGAGAGAGAGAATTATGTAGAAATGCAAGTACATTCTAAATTATTAAGCAGGAAAATTATATTTGGGCCTCAGTGTCTACTCAATTACACCACATGATGTTTGAATTCAGTTACATTTTGTAAAGTTTCATTTCCATTACTTTACATTTTAAAAGCTCCCAGTGCTTTTTCCAAATTTTGTGTTATTTTTCTAAACTGAGGTGGGGAACCTCAGGGCCAGAGGCCGGATACAGCCCCCAGCTTGCCTGGATCCGGCCCCCAATGCTCAGGGCTTCCCCCAATATTAAGGAGCCTTTGCTGGCACTCCAGCTCCCCTCCCTCCGCTGACCCATCATGATGTTGGAGAACACACAGTCGTCTACTAGGCTGGGCCCTCTTAGGTTCTGGTGTGTGAGGGGAATGTCTTTCTCCTTCTCATTTGGGTACCACATCAGTGAGAGCTTTTTGTGTGTGGCTCTCAACTGATTTTTCTGTGGGTCAGTGGCCCTCAACCCCTAAAAAGGTTCCCTCCCCCAGTTTTAGATGGATTTTATCTATCTATTTATCTATCTACCTATTGATATAGATATAACTTTTTAAATGAAAAGTAATATTTTGATTAATGTTAACTTAAATGGTTAGTGCAATGATGCTAGTGTATCTTATTCCATGCTTTCTTATACAAATTGGGTTTGTTTGTTTGTTTTAAAAACAACTAATGAATAACTTAGATGTTGTTCATTCTTCCATCCCACTATTTTTTTAAAATGACATCTTGGTTGTGATTGTGTTTCCAAATGGTGGCAGTACTGCTCTTAAGAATCAACAAATTATTATATTCTAATAGTGCACTGATTTTTTTGTATTAGGTGATGGTTGTATTTTTAATTGCAATGTTTACCCTAAATGTTTACAGGTTTTAATATAGCACATTAAATTAATATTTATAGTTTTCTTCTCTATATGCTTTTTTGTCAATGATTTACCAATAATGTAACATAATTATATTTTGAAATTTAAATAATTTAAATATATAATCCACATAAAGGAACTAGAAATAAATGTCTTGCATATTCTACTTCACATAAAGGAACTAGAAATAAATGTCTTTGCATATTCTACTTTACCACTTTACTGAAAGTTTGAATATTTTTTGTATCTTGTCAAACTGACAACAAGATAAAGTATAGCCCCCCAAAAATGTTTATAAACCTAGTAGAGCTGGGAGACCTAATGACAGGCTAGGAAATAGATTACTGCCCTTTCCTTTTATTTTCCTTTCCTTTTCAAAAAAGAATAACAATCCGCCCCAGATATCAGAAGAATCAATCATGCCATAAACAAGGGGTGCTACTAGCACACAAATTATCTAAAATGTTCTTGTAAGGTGACAATGAAATTTATTAAGCTGTCATTATCAGTGCTATCAATCAGGTTAGAGCCCAACTGAGGAAGGATTAGAAATCTCAGCATGAGCAATCAGCCTGAATGGGACCTTTATTAATCGCTCTCTGATTTTCAGACAGCTGAATTTCCCTGGACGACTAACCTTTTGGTTAAAATTGCTAATCTTCCTATCAAAGCTTATTTTATACCAAACACAAACATTTTCATACTCCAGCAAACTGTGTGTGGATTTACTACTGAAGGACTGAAAGTTATATCTTTACAGTTTTTGAGGGAAAGGCCTATTGTTCT